GAGAGAATTTTATAACAATCTCCTATGAAACCTCATCTAACTTTAATCGCCAGTCCAGGGCCAATCATGCTTAATATACGTGATCCCTGCTTTCCAGATTCCTGGATTATTCTGAAGTAAATGTGACACATGATATTTTATACTCATCAATATTTCAGTATGTATTTCAAAGGCCAAAGGCTATAAAAATCATTATGCATTCTGCTTAAAACTATAACAAATTCCTACTATCATCAAAGAGTGTTAAATAGTGTTAAGATTTCTGTCTCTGATTTGCTTATGGGAATTACACTCTGAGAAGGGTTTATACAATGCATTTTACTCATCAGTCCCATCAGTCTTTTAAAACCCAAATTCCCCTCTCTCTTTTTTTTTCTTTTCCTCGGAATCTTTTGAAGAAACCAACTTCTTTACCCCCAGATCTTTCCAGAGTCTACATCTCACTGGCTGCATTTCCATGGTACCATTTCACCTGCTTATACCCTGAAGTTCCTCTACACTGATGATAGACAGAGCTAAAGCCTTCATCAGAGTTCAGTTTTTCACAAGAATGTTTATAGGTGGCATCGTGTATTTTACCAGGAAGCACAAAATGTCCCTTGCAATGGTAGGATTGACTGGATGTTGCTGCCAGGTGTGTTCAAGAAAGGTCTCCATCAGCTTTTTGTCATTGATAACACTTGCCTAGACCCCATTTCATGAAAACAGTACTCTACCATCTCATGTACAGATTAGAAGACTGCTCTGACTTCAGAGAGAAAGACGGGTGGGGAAAGGTTAGTACTGAAGGCAGGCAAATAGAGGAGGAAAGCAGGCCACAGGTGGGAAAAGAAGGGAATTGCTAGAGCAAAAGTTTTGTGCTTTTCAAACTGGGAGAGGTGTTGCCAAATTGTCATCTAAAAAGGTTAAACTTGTATTTTCAGCGTGCCTGTGTCTACATACCCTTGTTTGGCCAATGTGACAGATGACAAGCAATACCTCAGCCTGGTTCACTGTGTGTGAGGGGAACTGGGGATTGAACCTAGGGTCCTGTACATGCAATCTTAATTATGGGTGCAGTGGAACAAATTCTCAAATGCATATGAGTAACTTGTACTGATTTTTTAATAGAAGTCTGTGGCATTTTTTTTCATATTTTTCTATCAGCTTGTTTTCACTTTTTAAAATTTTTTTGAAGATTTTATTTTTTTCATCTTTTAATTTTTAAGATTTCTCAGTATATTAGGGAAATGAGTCCTTACCTGTCTTGTCAAAGTCCCTAGACTTTTGTTTTTTGAACCCGAATAAGAAGGTGGTTTGGAAAAGTTAGTTTATTGCTACAACACATTAGCCCATGTTTCCTTCAGTCTGTGAGGCTTTGGACATACTTTGAAGGTCCTAACCTATTCTAAGACCATTAAAGTCATTCATAATTTGTGAACTTCATAATGTAGTTTCCTTCCCTCTGCCCTTGATTCATCTCTCTCTCTCTCTCTCTCTCTCTCTCTCTCTCTCTCTCTCTCTCTCTCTCTCTCTCTCCTTCCCTGCTTCCTTCACCCCATTTTTTGCATGCACATCACTTTGATGAATGGATCAATGTTTTATTTCTTGTCTCAGTATTATTTATGGTTAACGTTTTCTCCTTATGAAGTGGCACTTTTGTTTATATTATATACTGTTTACATTGGTGTCTTGTGTCAAAATCTCCTGTTTTATTCCAGCAATCTATTTTTTCCAGTCCATCTCAGTTCTTTAATAAATTCAGTGCACTGGGGCTCTGCACTCTACACATTGCATACCTCCTTGAAAGGTTGTTTGTGAAGTCTAGATTAATGTACGCTTGAGACTGGGCATTGTGGCATGTGCCTGTAATCCCAGCACTTGGGAGGCTGAAAACAGGAGGATCACAAGTCTGATCTACATAATAGATCCCTGTACTAAATATATTTTTTAAATGTACACTCTAATTGGCATAGTTTGTCACTGCATAATATACCAAACCCAGTTTCAGTGGCTTCATGGGACCTCCGCTTACAGCTCGCATCTCCAGGGGTCATGCTGAAAACCAGGTGCCACTGGGGGGCCCTGCTCCTCAGAACTTTTGTTTTCTTCCAAGGGCAGATTAGTCTGGAAATAAGGTCCCTGGGGACATCAGAACAGGGACGTGAGTGTGAAAACAAAGGTGAGAAGGTGAGTGTGAAAACAAAGGCCCCACAAGCTGTGCATGGCCCACGCCATAATGATGCAGTGACACCTCTGCCTCACTTTACTATCAAAGCCACATCACTAAACCAAAATCAAGGGTTAGGAAAGTCCTTCTGGCCCTGATAAGAAGGGCTGGGGTGTAGATGCAAAAAAAGGTAAAGATATGGAGCCGCAATCCCTGTGTCCTGCAGCTACTATCAATTATTTAAATATACATTAGTAAATATTAATTTTACAAAATACTGGGATTCAATGTACATATTTTGTGCATATCCACCGTCCTATTACCCTCCCTTCACTTCTTCTCCCTGTTTTCCCTTCCTCTTTTCTATTTTCATATCTCATATTTTAGAAGGACTATGTGATTCTTGTCCTTCTATGTCTGGCCTATTTCACTTAACACAGTGACCTACAGTGCCATCAGTTTTCCTGAAAATGGCATAATTTCACTCTTCTTTGTGGCTGAATAATATACTCTCCATTATCCATTCATCTGTTGATGAACACCTTGGCTGGTTACATGTCACCTCTGTGAATTGTCACAATAAACAGGTATACAGGTATCCCTATAGTACGCTGACTGTATTCCTTTAGTTGTATACCAAGGAGTGGTATATCTGGGTCACACGGTAGTTCTAGATTTAGTTTTTTTGATGAGGGCCCATACTGAGTCCCATAGGAGCTGTAGCAATTTGCAGTCCTTAAAAATGTGGAAGGGTTCATTTTCTTCTCTGCATCCTTGTCAGATTTTGTTTTTTATTTTTGTATTCTCAAAGATAGCCATTTTTATTGGGGTGAGACAGAATCTCAATGTAGTTTCCATTTGCATTTTCCTTAAAGGCTAAAGGTGATGAATGTTTTTCCCATGGACTTGTCATCTGTACTTCTTTTGAGAAATGTCTGTTCAATATATTTGTCCACTTATTAACTGGGCTATTTGCCCTTGAGTGTTTCTAGTCTGTCATATACTCTAGGTATTTATCCTCTGTTGGAAGCATATCTGGCAAGGAATCTTTCTGCCACTCTGAGGCCTATCCCTTCTCTCTGCTGTTTCCCTTGCTGTACAGAAACTTTTTAATTTGCTATAGTCTCACTTATTGAATCTTGCTAATATTTCCTATACCATTCAGGAAGTCTTTGCCAGTATCTGTGACTTCAAGTACTTCTCCTGTGTTTTAAATAGTAGTTTCAAAGTTTTGCATCTTATACCTAGGTATTTGATCTATTTTGAATTGATTTTTGTATAAGAAACAGAAATATTATTTCAATTTTTGGCTTATGGACATCCAGTTTTCCCAGCACAGTTTGTTGAAGTGGCTATCTTTTCTCCACCACATATTTAGCTCCTTTATCAAGAGTCAGATGGCTGTGGTTGTAATGGTTTGTTTCTGTATCCTGTATTTTACTCCACTGGTCTCTATTTCTATTTCTTGTGCCAATATCATGCTGTATTGGTTACTGTGGTTTAGTTGTATAGTCGGAAACTGAGTATTGTGATGGTTCCACCGTGTTCTTTTGCTTATCATTGTTTTGGATATTCTTGGTCTTTTGTATTTCCAAAAGAATCTTGGAGTATTTTCTAATTTTCACAAAATTGGACGTTGTTTACAATATAATCTCACCAAAATTTTGATGGTGATTGCACTGATCCTGTAGAATGCTTTGGCAATATGACACCATTTTAATCATATTATTTTTGCCCATCCATAAACATAGTGGTTCTTCTACCCTGTAGGGTCTTGTTTCTTTCTCAGTGTTTAGTAATTTTCAACATAGCCTTTTACCTTCTTGCTTAGACTGATCTCTACATGTTTTACTTATTTATTTTGAAGCTGTTGTGAATGAAATTGTTTTCCTGAATTCTCGGCTAGCTCATCATTAGTGTATAGAAAAGCTATCGATTTTTAATGTTGATTTTATGTCATAGACAAATTATTCAAATAAGGTTCCTCATCTAGCATTAGGAATAGAAAGGACCTACTAATATATACTTAAATACACAGAAAATTTAAGTAGATAGAAATGTACAGAATTTAACATGCATGATCCATCTCCAATGATTAACAATTTAACATCTTTATGTTTCTGATCTTTTTGTTTTTTTAAAAATAAAATATTCTAGCCTTTAAGTACTCTGCATGTCTCCACAGTAGTTCTATTTTCCCCTTGTCCAGGGGTACCCAGTATTCTAAAGTTAGTCTGTGTATATTTTTGTGTATTTATTGTATACATTATATGCATATTTTTTATTTTCAAAATTTAATTAAATGATACAATACTATAAATACCATTCCAGACGTCATTTTTAATTCAATAGTATATTTATAAACCTGTGTTCATATGTGTAGGCAGTCCTCATTTAAACTGTGTACTTCATTGCATGACTGTATCATGGATATTGTTAATTTTCATTATTACAAATGAAAAAACATTTAAAATTACATCAAAAATAAGTAATTTTTTCCAAAATGTTGAAATTATCTATAAATGATACACATGTGATATGTACTAGGATTGATAATAAAAACTTAAGAGATAAACTGAAGAATATGTAATACAAGATCTTACACTCATTGAAAATGTGAAAAAAAAAAAAAGATCTTACATTATTAATGGTCAATTCTCTTCAACACTATCTACCACCCAAGAACTGAACAAAAAATTTATGACAATATTAAATATGCCATTTTTACATGTATATTCTCCTGCAGCTAAAACCCGAGACACCATTCATCTGTACCTCACCTTATCATTTTCTGTTAATATTTAGTCAGTATTTCCAATAAAACTGGCTTCTTCAGATCAAAGGCTTTTACATCAGTCTTACATGGGAGTCAAATTCACTGGACAATTAGAATTTGATTTGTTCCATTCTCTTATACTCTCTGTGCCTTGCACTGTTAAATGAGATATATAAAATTCAAAGGCTAATAGCCAAAAAATATTCATTCAAACTTTAATAGTCTTCAAAGAGTGTGGTGACAATTCTAGTTAAGGCAGAAACGTAAGGAAAGCAAAAAAACAGATGTTCCTAGCAAGAGTCCTCCTTTCAGCTGCTTTGATTTCCATGGGTAAGTAAAAACTACAACTTGAGAATCTTAGCTAATATAAAAAAAACTAATTTCAGGGGTAGATTTTAAAGTCATTAGTAGCACAATCACAACAGAAACTTGTATATTCATTATTAAAGGTGGGACTGGAAGGGTATATGGTACTGGGTGCATTTCTCCATCATTTCTACTTGAATGTTTTGGATCTTTAATGAGGAAAGCATAAAAGTGGAGTGGGAAGACTTTCAGAAAAGTCAGTCGTGGCTGGGATTTAATTGGAACAAAATTAGAAAATGAAAAACAAATTATATAATACTTTTAGAAAGTTACTGATGCAAAAGCTCATATGGATTAGCACAAAAGGACTGTTTCCCTAATTTAACTGTCACAGCAGGAAAGAAAAACAAATAGATTAATAAACTGCTAAATATATGCTTCAGTTCTCAAAAATAAGTAATTGCCAAAATGGTGGCATTATATTTGATTATATTGAAAGGTATTATGTTGATTTGAAGCCTGGCCATAGTGGAAGACTTTGATACTCACATTACATTAAATATGCTTTATGGCCATGTTTTGTAGCTGCTCTGTATCAGTGGAAAGTAAAATGCCATTAAATAAGGTCAATCATCGAATTAGTAGCCTCTTGTTTCAGCCTTTCTGTTTGCATAAAAGTGAAATGTTGAGTTTGTTAACTTTGAATGTTAACATTAGAAATCAGTTCAGTTCAGTCGACAATTTTATCAAATAGAGAGACAATTGACAATATTAAAGAGGCAAATTGCACTTAAAAGTTTGCAGCGTATATTGATAGTCCACTCCTCTCTGTTTTATAACTTTTTATATAATTGCTTCAACTCCCTTTCCCACCTCTCTTCTGCTTCATCTGAGACTTATATGGTTTGACATTTTGAATTTCATGTATTTCTGGACTCTTCCTCTTCCATGTCGATAAACATGAGATTTAGTGTTGAATAAACTTGTCTTGTTGAGAGTGTGTTTTGCCTTTAACTCAAACATTAATTTGGATTTGCTTATTAGAACTAACCCCAAGGCATTTCAAACTTATTTTGTAATTTCTACTTATTTTTTTTGAGCTGTCCTATTTGTTTTGTTTAATCCAAACATAGTGGACCATATGCCAGGTAATGAGCAAAGGACACTTGAAAAGCTTAAGTTAAACCATTTCTTAATGGATCACCTGAAAGAAAGTGTAGTTAATGATAGAAGGTAATAAACAAATACCAGAATTCCTTGGCCAGGCAAAAAGGCCAATTTTACATGTGAATTAGGATGCAAAACTTTTTAAGACCCTCCCAATAGACTACAGAAAATTAGAAGGAAACAACAGGGAAAATACGTTCCTCAGGGTGTCCTGGAGACTGATTAGACACCTAACACTCTCATGCTTCTCCTGTTTTTAGCACTAGCTGTGCGATGGGCTAGTATGTGTGCTGGCAAGTCCACCAATGAGATCCGGACGTGTGACAGCCATGGCTGTGGGCAGTACTCTCCTAAAAGGTATGGGGTTTCACCACCAACTATCCATCAACCTCTTTGGCTCCTTCTTTTCTTAGTGTCCTTATTCTATATTGCTCTATGTGTTTGCCCCAGAAATATGTATAACAGTCTTTGGAATGACTTCTAAGAACTCTGTTTTCAGTATGGATTCTGAATGGGAGACAGATCCCAAACTAAGGAAAAGAAAAAGGAACAGATAAATGTTGTTTTCTCTTTCAACATCTTCATACATTGACATATCTTGCTTGGCCTCCCAAAGGTGAAAACTCAACCACTACTATTGCATTTTATTATTTTTAAAAATAATAATAATAAGGAACCGGGGATTTAGCTCAGGCCCTTGTGCTTGCCAGGGTAGCACTTATTCCACTGAGCCATCTCCCTGGCCTACTATTGCATTTTAAAGATGAGGAATTTGAACTGAATGCCAAATGGTTAAGGGTCCTGCTAAGTACAGCTGAAGATGGTGAAGGCTACACTTGAATTCCAGCTTCTGGATCCTCTTCCAACCAGTCCTGCTACTACTAACCCAGCCTCTGGACTTTGAGTTTTAGAGGCTGATCTCCATCCTAAGTACAGTGGCTCTGTTACTTACAGAGGTGACTTATAAAGCAACTTCAAATAACCTGAGACAGGACTAGGAGATGGGATCTGAGCTGTGGGGGAAATGAAGACTCAGTTGGTATCCACTGTTATGCTTGATTTACACACTGTCTTCTTGGCTCACTTGGAGCCCAGCGGATGGAGCTTTACAGCTAATTCTAACAACCTTGGTGAACCTGATTGTTCCACAATAGCCTATGAAAAGGCAGAATAGCCCAGTAGGAGCAGGCTTGGGGCAGCAGTGAAAAGCCAGAACTGAGGGGTTGTTAAGAGACAAATTTAAGAAACCTCATAATCTGAAATGATTGTGCATTTGTTCTGTACAGTTCAATAAGCCTCAGAGATATCACTCACTGCACTAACGACCATGTGCAGTAAATGATGTTTACAGTGACTTTCCACTGAGAGAAAAATAGGATGCTAGGGTGGCATGTGATACTTTCATGATAGGTTCTCATAAAAAGGCAATTCTTTTCAAAATGCTCTTGAAGAGGTCAAGATTCCAATAGTAAAAATTTTACTTAATTGTACTGTCTCACTTCTCCAAAATGTCATATAATAGTAATAATTAATATTTGTTTAAGGGTTACCACATACCAAGTACTAGTTCAAATGCTTTAGTCTTTACCACACAGTCATTATTACCCCAGAGAGTGGTTAAACTTGGACTAAACAGACTGAGGAATCCTGCAAAAGCCCAAATGTTTTGGCAGCTTCAATTTCTGATACTTTGGGGTGGAACAGTGGGTTAACATTACATTCTTAGCCATAAAGTTCACCAAGGCAGCTCCTCAACCCACTCGGTATTACTTACATCCTAGAAATCAGAGGCCTCACCAAGGTGTGGACATTCTGTGCTCCGATGGATCTACTGTGTATGCACCATTCACCGGAATGATTGTGGGCCAGGAGAAACCTTATAAAAACAAAAATGCCATCAATAATGGCGTCCGGCTCTCTGGAAGAGGTAAGAGAGGTGGCTGTACAGATTTAGGGCCACTCGTGGGGATACTGATGCTTACGCAATTTAATGCAGGTTTCATACATGGAAGTTTTATACCTCTTTTGAAATGATATAACCTAGAACATAAAAGACTATATCATGCAAAAACCACTGAGGCATTTTCAAAGATGTTCTACCACCTTCCCTAAAAATTTCTGCTTTATGAACACAAATCACGGAACTATAGCTGATTGAAGGTGTCCTTCATGGTCCATGTAGTTTTGCTTTTAAAAATATCTGCAAACAAAAATCCCTTTCAGCAGTATTACCATAACAGAGATACCTTCATTTACCAAAAATCTCAGAATTTGCAAATATTGTCATTTCTATAAGAGTTAAATGTAAACTAGTACAAAAGGCCTTTATGCCCTAGGTAAAAGATTTCCTGGTACTACAGGTATTGAGTTTATTTATGAGACAGGTTCTTGCTACATAGTTGAGGCTAGCCTTCAACTATGCAGCCTAGGCTGGCCTCGAAATCAAGGCAACCCTCCTGCCTTAGCCTCCCGTGTGCTAGGATGAAGGGAAGAGCCACCACATCTGACTATAATTACTTCATAATGTGTAGGACCCCATTATATGCATATATTTCCATATACTGTTTTCCTTTGGATAGACAATTGGGTAATTTTTAGTTTTAAGTGATTGTGAAAAAAAAATATATATATTCATATATATATATATTCTTTATATATATATATTCATTATATATATATTCATTAAATATATATTTTCCTATTCGGAGTAGGCTCAGAGGATACAAAGGAACCTATGTCCTTAAGGAGCTACTTGGTGACTGTCCTCTGTAGTCCCCAAGTGACCACATATTCTGGTGCTATTAAACTGGGTTCTCTAAAGTGGTGGCATTTAATAGGTATGGCCAAGATCAGAGCAGGCGTGTAATAGACAGAGAAGTGAAGCACTAATCAGATTCCTTTGGACCTCAGAGAACGGTGGCAGTGGCTAATCACAGTGACCCTAGAACTGAATGGACGTATAACCTACTAAAGCCTCATCAATTTTGTGTAAGTGCAAATGCTCTTAAGTCTCATAAATAAAATCTTGACATATGAGGCAGTAGGATTACACGTTCAAGCCCATCTTGGGTGACTGAGACACTGTCTCAAAATAAAATATTAAAAAGGGTTGGGAATATAGCTTAGTGCAAAGGCCCTGGGTTCAATTACAGTACTGAAAAATAATTATTTTAATCATCACAATAATGGATCAGCTCCCTGGTTCCACAAAAAAAAAAAAAAAAAAGGATCAGAGCCTCCACCAAATTCCTAAACTTGTACCAGGTCATATAGCTCTATGAACAAAAGAGAGACCAAGTCCTGCTAAGGAAAGGTCTTTCCATACAGTTAAAGATTTATTCTGCAAATCTGACTTCTAGCCACCCCAAAAGGGACCCTTAAAAGACCCCCATTATCCACCAGTCAGATGAGGGGCTGTAGGACTGGCTTACCTATGTAGTCTTTCCTGGGGGCCTTTTCACTGTGGGCCCAGTGTGTTCTCACACTTACCCCAGCAGCTCCCAGTTACAGTTGCTGAGCAACTGGCACAATGTGTAAGAGAACTGCTGTGTGTGCTGCAACGGCAAGCAGAAACACCGAAAGGACACCTAGGATTTGAAAGTAGATTTATTTATGTCGTCAGGCACTGATCGGGATCATTCCCAGAATATGAGGCCCTGATCCCCAGCGGTCTAGGGCTTATATGTGATAAGCAACCAGGAAGTATAGAGGCTGAATGCCTTGACAGTTGTGGATTGGTTTATACAATGTGCATCATAGTGAACAGCTACATATCACAGTGACCTGCCATTTCTAAGAGGCAGAAGCAACTGGAACTGGAACAGGAACTGTTACCTGGGCAACAAACTGAAGTACAGAGCAGGGGCATTTTCTGCTGCAGTGTGGAATACCCAGTTACAGTAGTGACACCGTTCTCCAAAGCAGTTGTATCAATCTGCACTCTTTCCAGCTGTGCATGAATTCTAATTGCTCCACACACAATGCTTGGTGTTACCTATTTACTTCTTTATTTTTTGAGACAGGGCCTTGCTATGTAACTCAGCCTGGCCTTGCACTCATTACTCTATGTCAACCACACTGGCCATGAACTCAGAGCGATCCTTCTGCTCACCCTCCCGAGTGCTGGGACTCAGGGGTGCAGCACCATGCCCAGCTATTTACTTTTTCATGTGGGCCACTCTGGTGTGTGTCTAATAGATCTCACTGTGGTAAATAAAGCTATTAATAACATAGATGTCCCCTAGAGTACATCTATTCAAATATGCCATTTTTTATTGGATTGTACTTTTTATTGATACATGAAAGCTATTTATCCTGGATATAAATTCTTTGTCTCAGATAGTTAATTTTTTTCTTTCACTTTGTGGCCTGCCTTTTCACTTAATGATGTCTAATAGAAATTTTTATTCTTAATGTGATGAAATTTAGTAACAATTTTTTGTTAACATTTTTAAAACATGTTTGAAACATTTGCCAACCCTGAAAGGACTATTTTTTTTAATGTATTTTTTAAGTTTTGTTTCCCCTTGCATATTTAGATCTATATGATTTTTGACTCAGCAATATCAACCTAACAAGATTTC